GTGAGGGGTTGGGGAGAGAGAGGAGTTCCTCCCCGGGGAGCCCCTTGCGCACCGACCATTGTGCAGGATGCCTGGATAAGGACATCCCCTTCATCCCTGACAAGTAATTCTGACAGGAAGGTGGGGGGTGAGGGGTCTCCCCATATGATAGAGGAGGCTCTGAAAGGAGAAGGTGCCTGTACAGGCTCTCAGGGCAGGGTTTGGGGGGCTGGGGTTTATCCTCTGTCCCCCTGCTTTGTTGTTTCTCAGGGAGATGCTGCTGCCGCTGGATCGGTTTGTCTGAGGCAAGGACGGCTCAACCACCTCTGCGGCAGCCCTCCTGCCCTGGGCGGGCTCACGAAGGAAGGATCCAGACAAGGCTGCGAGCTCACCTGTCCCTTGCCCTGGTTCCGCTCCCGGAGAGGCCTGGGGTGAGCCTGGGAGGAGGCCAGCTCCATCACCACCTCTCTCCATGACCCAGGCACTGGCCTATGCATCCTTCTCAAGCTGGGAGGGGGCAGGACCCACGGCACAGAGGCGCTTTCCCAGAGTAGGACTCCCATAGGTGGCCCCTGGGCCCTCTTGGGTTGCGGCTAGGTGGGGTGTCACCCGGTTTGGACCTTACACCAGGGAAGCCAAGAGAGAAGGGGGCTGTGGTACTGGACTGTGGGTAACGCCCCACAAACACAGGACCAGGGGTAGGGCTCAGCCCAGAGTGCCGGGGGGTGGGGGTGGGGGGGGCGGTCGCAAAAATTACCCCCGGGGCCTCCTCCCCCCTCCCCCCCCCGTCACCCAGCGCAACGGTGGGGTGAACTCAGGACTCCGACAGCTGAGCCAGGGTTCATATAATTTCATCCCCAGATTTGCTCTTTTTGTCCTCGAAGCCCCTCCCACTGTCACACAAGGCCAGCTGGACAGAGCCCCGTACCTCCTGCAAGGGCCCGCTGGGGGGCGTGGCCCAGGCGTGAGTTCAGGGCAGGGTCAGGGGCCCAGCCGCCAGCATGGGGGCGGTGTCATCTGGGCGGGGCTGGCCTCATCTGCCCTCTTCTACTGCTTCTCTCATGTATTCCAGCCGGGACGCCAGGTCCGCCCTCCTGCCAGCTGCAACTGGCCGGGCCTCTGGGCTCAAAGCGAGGGAATCCCGGCCTTTGTGCTGGGCGGGGATGAGGTGGGGGCCTTCCTGAGGGCGCCTGGCCAGGGTGGAGGACGGGAAGGGGCTCTGCGGCACCGAGTCATCCGGC